ATTTTATTACGATGTGGGTGTTTAATTAATAACAATATGACACAATTCAAACTAAATCGAGTATGTAGACTGCCAATCAATGAAGCATTGGTATTTGTAACAAGGCATTAGTCATTACAGCATGTTGGGCATTAAAAATCCCGTATATTAACTAGTCAATTTAGATAATTTAGAACCATTCACTATGGTGAAATACATATGAAACGAAAATACACACTAAACAATAAGATATTACAAAATTCTATGCCCACTATTTATTTCATGTTTGTATCACGTCCTTGTTGTCCATTATAATTGTTATTTTCCTAAACAGTCGTAAAGTAGAAATGTATGACAGGGAATAACGTCCATCCATGAATATCTCACTATGCATATGAGGTGATTGGTGAAACATATATAAAATGACTGGTCATTTTATCAATTTAATGTAGCAGTTCGAGATATAGCAAAACGCATGTCAACATAATTAGGATTTTAACTCATACACCGAATTTACTTATAGTTCTTTGTATCAACGAATAAAGCCGTGAACTGATGTTGAAGTACTGGATCTACGTTTTACCAATTTTGCTGTTGCCTTTCAATTTTGACCTAAAATTACGTCATCTATCTGGTTAATGACGACTAAAACAGCGTGTGCATACGTGGCATATATGTGGAACGTCTAAATTCCTGAAACAGATATTTCTGTGATTTTCTAAATTGAAATATCGCCTTAAATCTCTTTGTTTTTCCGATTAATTTCCTTATCGAGATTGTTCGTGATGGACAACTTTTCTGATCAGTGATAATAACAAAATATCATATTTGTTTACACGTGCTTATAACTGGATTTGCGAATGTCACTACAAATATTATATAGTGTCACAAAATTTATAAATTCAGGTCAATTTTTAACAAATTTACAACCACTCGGGTTAATGTGTACTATGTTTGTATATGACATTTTGATGGATGTACTATAATACTGGTACATACAAGTACACTCACAAAAATATCCTAAAACTATTAGAAAGAGAATTTATGTAACTTGGATAAAAAACAAACATTATTTCCCTTGCCACTACAGTGTATTGCTCTTATACTTGTCATTTCATGCAAGAATCAATATTTTACTACTATTTCAACTTTCTTTTTCACAAAATCCTTTTCCCCATCTCAGTTTTAAATTTAAAAATGGGGGAACTGCTTGACTTTCTTGGTATTTTTTGTTGTCATGGGTTACTGCTACCTTCACTGTTTAAGTATTGAAATAAGTAAATTGGAATGATCGTTTAATTACAGTAATTAAATTGTGATTGAGACCCTCTATAGTTGGGATTCTTTATTTTCACTTTGTTTTTGACGT